GCAAGTCATCGACTGGATTTGCATTCAACATGACGTGTCACGTCACGTCTGCTCAAAGAGGCCATGAGGCCACGCTCGTTTGCCGCCCAGCACCTGAGCATTCGCTGCCCAACGAAAATGGAGGGGAGCGAGGGGCCAGGACTTCGGGAGAGAGTGACCAGGCCGGTCCGGTCCTGGTTGGGGATTTGCCTTCGTCCTGGACACCTTCTTCCGACTTTTTCAGGGTATTAGAAGGTGTTGTCGAGTGCGAAGGACCAAGGACCAACGGAAAATCCTATGAAAATGGTCCAGGTTCCCCGGATCTATGGGTCTTGCGATGTCTTTACCTTGTTTGTTTAGAAATTGGCCTTGGGGCACCAGCATGGATTGGACCCATTTGGGCTGCACCCGACTGGACTCATCCGCTGAGGTTTGCAGAAGCGATTTGGATTGATTTGGTACATAGAAAGCATAGATGAAATTGCACCCCAAACATATTGCCACCTCTTCTTGGTCACATGCACAGGAGTCCTTTCTGAGTCAACCTTGAAGCTGGGATGAGTCAACACCGCTACGACCTGAGCAATGTTGTCCGGTCGTCTTCCATCATCCGGTCGCTTCGAACGGAGTCACGGATGATCACCGGACCCTCTGGTTCCGGAACCGTCGGGATGATCCGCGGCGGTCGGAGCGATGGGCTCAAGCGTAACATCTACCTAGAGCCTGAGTGACCTCTATTTTGGAGGGTCAACTATCCAAAATATGGTCTTTTCCTATCAAAACAAAGGTCACTAAGGCTCTAGGTATATATAGATGGAACATGCAAGAGGAGCTGACGAAGTTGCAATCCATCCATGTCAGTTTGAAGTTCTGCCCTCTATGTAGTGTAGCTACATTGTTTCGAAACTCGTTTCGAGATTCAAGGATTCCTTACCCCAAAAGAATCGTACATAATCAGGGTAATATCATCGTCATGTCAATTGCCGAGAGAGAAATCAAGAGGGTGATACCGACCACACGGGTGACACCGACCACGCTCATTTCGTCCAATCTGGTGGTTTTCGGGGGGGAGCCACCATAGAAAAGCCCACAAAAACGGGGTATCCATATTCTTCCTCCAAGTCAGGGAGCGAGTCTCAGTCTTAAGGAATTCATTTGCAATGCGCTTCATCTTCAGGCCGAAGGGAGAGCGCGAGCGCGAGCACTGTCCTCTCCACGTGCACGCCACGTCGCAGAGAGTCCTGTTGAGTCTCTGTTTCGACCGTCAAACATAATATAAAGTCAGAGGAGTCAGTCATCCAAACTGGGGAGGTATCTTCTGTTTCCCAACACAGTTCTTTTTCATCCCTGAAAAAGACTCGCTGTGTGAGTCTTGTAGAGTCGCTTGGTGTTGGTCTCAACAACTGTCAACATATGATCTTTTCAATATGAGTCAATCTTTTCCAACACTTGGGGCGATCCTCAAAAGTGGACGCTGCGACAACTGATTTCTCAACCTGCGTGACGCCCAGACAAAAAGAGTCAAACCCGGATTCTCACCCCAACATATCATTTGGATCGTCCTAAACCCTGCCCTCAAGAAGCAATCAAAGTCCAGAAGCCTTCCCCCCAGAGTTTTGATCCCAGACTGTCTCAAAGTTTGCGCTTCCATTTTCCCCTTCAGAGCCACCAATTCACAGGCCTAACCGATCGTCTCCTGCCAGGCCATGGCTCTAACCGCCAGGGGTCCAGGTCGAGGGCAGGCAGGCCCTTCGCGCATCGGGGCCGGAAGGGCTCTGGAAATCGGACGTATTTTTCTCTTTAAACCGAGATGTTTGGAGCTTCCTGATCCAACATGCCGAAGGTAGAGGATTTGATCTCTTGTGCTGATGAACACCTGATGGAGAGAGGAGAAGTTAGACATGGCTGCTTTGAATAGACGACTTTGAAGTCAGTGCCAGAGTAGGTAAACCCATGTCCAGCAAAAGTTGTTGCCGGGTCAGCCATACCGCTCTCCCCCGAAGCGTACACTTTTTTCACACCTGAGTCGATGGTGCAACGGGTCAATGGAGTCAACTTAGATGGTCCGCTTTACGGATGGCCTGTCTGTCATCAGTGGCTTCCGGCTTCCACCACTCTTTTGCCAGGATCCGACGCAGACGCGTCACAAGACGCAGAGTGCATCCCCACGGCCCCAACGAGCTTTGGCTGGGTGGGAGGTGTTGGAGGTGTCTGCAGACATTCCTGACCCCCGTGGTGAGAGGAAACGATCGGTAGCTGGGTATGGTAGCCCTGGGATCCACATCTCTTTGTGGCCGAACAGCACACGAGCTCAGTTTTTTTCTCACCTGGATCATGTCGGAGACTTTTCCCTTGAACACCACCTGTGTCTTTTTTTTCAGAGGTCCTTCCTGCCCGTGGGGGCTCAGACCGAACCTCTGGTGTCGCCACACGGGGACGCAGCGGTGGTGTTGTGAGCATCTACGCACCGGTAGCGGCTCGGACGGCGCCCTGCTCGGGTGGAGGGCCAGAAGCGTTTTCGGTCACCAGAAGCGATGTGGTGCCCAGTCGCTGTCATCGGACGCAGCGGTGACCGGTGCGCCGGGGAACTCGGGGGGGTCGCGCTGGTCGGACCAGGATTCTGCGCCGTGGATGCTGTGCGGGTGGCCAAGGAGGAACTCGCAGCTTCTGGGTTTGGACCCCCAGTCTGGCCGCCTTCGGATCTTTGGATCCTTCGGAGGGGAAGGGATGCAACGGGACGAGGCCAGGATTTGTGACTCACACAACTGGATCATCAACTTGTAGTGCCCTTGAATCCTCCAGACTATACAGTGCATATATGTGCATATAGAGTTAGGGGAACGGCCAAGGGTACAACTTAAAATCCGTTGAGTGATCAGTGTAATCTGTAACCTTGGGCACTTTTTGGCCTTCGTGCTCTTCTTTGATCCGCAAGTTCTGATTGTTCCCATGCGCTCCGACTTGTCCAACAGTCGGGAGAAATATCGCCAAGGTTGAACATCAACTTGAATTTACTGTAAAGTGACCGGCAAGCAATTAGTAGATATTAATATATAGATATTATATATATATATATTTACAGTAATGATATTTATAACAGTGAATCCCCTCTTAAGAAACTTTGTGGACACCATTTCTATCTACTGCGCTGGCAACATGCTTTTCTTCTTTACTACAAAACCTGAGGGGCTTCGTTCATTTTTTTTAAACCTCCAAGAGAATCGTTCAACATCTTCTCCTTCTTCAGCGATTGAAATAAGTGGCGGCCGTGGCGGCCAGTTCTTCCCCTGAAAGTCGTCGGATGTGAAGTCGCACGTGACGACTCTTCTGAAAGTGAGTCCATTTTGAAAAGGCAGGTAGCTTTTTGCTTAGTCTTAGTGATGTGACTTGGAGCAAGTGCACTTGCTAGATTCCCAAGTCGCACCTTCCAGACGGCACGAAATACTCTGAGCATCCGGTTTCCGAAGCTCGCTTCTGTCGGCATGTGACTCTTTGGGTGACCGAAAGCCCAAATGAGTTTATTTTTTTTTGTGGACACGTGCATGGATGCTTTTGGCCTTTGAACCTAAGGCACCCCACCGTACTACCGGTCTCTTGCGATGCCGACCAAAAACCTGCCAAAACGCCGAACTGCCGCACCCGTAGGCCCATTGTGAAGGCCGGACGGCTGCGGCTGGCGAGAGTCTTGGATGAGCCGGAGACCTGAGTTTGATGGTTCGTGCATGTTGTACAGCTTGTGCAGATGAACTTCCCTGCTTTTGGGGGTGAAAGAGGGCAAGGATAGACCCGCACCATCTTCCACTTACCGTAGGCCCGACTTCACTCACGACTCTTGTGTAATCTAGCCGGTTGTTCCTTCTGAGGAATCCCAACTTTCTACCTTGCTCGTTGGAACAAACATGGATGATGGTACGCAGGAACTTTCGAGCTGGTATCAAGTCTATAGCCCAATGAGTAGCACCAGGGATGGCCTTTTCCATGTTCCCACCTGCTGGACAGCACGTGCTGTCCAGCCTCCAGCAGTTTTAAGAGTTCTGAAGGAGAGGTGCATATGCACCTAGTGTGCATGGACGCTCCATCTGAAGTGGAGCTGGGGCAGTTGGAAGATTCTGATGCTGAGACGCAGCCATTCAGGTCCACTTCTTGAAACAGTCTGAAGTTCTTCAGCCTTGCATGCAGCCAGACCGGGGAGGTTTTACGAAAACACCCCAAAACGGCCATTGGGAGCCATATCTCACGGCAATTGGAGTCCGGCCCTGCCGTCCATCAACTCAAGTGGTCCAGGTCCGAACGATGGAGGTGATCTGTCTCATACGGATCTGTCGTTCCAGGTCCGCACCGATCCGGTCCGGTTTTGACGGTCCAGGCCCAGCTCCGGTTTTGTCCTCACATGGAGAGCCGCCACGGGCACCGCCATGTTTTCTCCCCGCTTCCGACCTTGGAGGCCACCGATCAAAAGCGCGGACGATCGCGCGGTGGGATTGGTGGGAATTGAAAGGCTCCAACGAACCGTGGTGTTTGGTTTGATTCATTTCTGGTCTCCATACCCTCCCATCTAAAACGCACAGGACTGCTCAAACCGTTTCACATCACGTGCACATGCACCACCAGCACCGTGCCTACTCTCGAGGTGTTGTCGCTGCTGCTTGTGGCGCCCAGTGGCCCGCGGATTTGAACGGGTGGCCGCGAGTGTCGTGGGCTTCGAGACCCTCAGTGACGAGGACGACGCCTCGGACTTCGGCGCCGAGCCCAGCCCCGCCGGGGCGGCGCACCGCACGCGCAGTGGCAGTGGCGGCGCCGGAGGCGGCGCCCATGGGCGGCGGAGGAGCTCGCAGAAGGAGATCTGGGGGAGAAGGGTTTCGAGGATTTGGCATGGAGGACAATGTTTTGGAGCTGAATTCGTGCGAGAAGGCTTCACTGTAGGTCCTGTATATAGGTGTAGAAAGCTGGCAGGCGTGCCGCTCAATGAAACATGGCCCCTCCATGTGCCTTTGGAGGAGGATGAGCGTCAAGATGCCACCATGGATGAGATGTTTGTCGAGTTCTTCGACGCCATTGACGAGCTGTCGGATAACGATGAGCTGGAGGGCACCAGCGGCTGAGATCAGCACGAAAAACGATGAAACACGTATATACCTCTTTTTTGTTGGAATAGACGACTGGTTTGTCCTTGAATCTGTTTGTTTTTAGGGGTGGCAATCATGTCTTTTTGTTCTAGCGGGTGTGCATCTGAATAAAAATTCGAGCTTTGGGAAAGTTTGTTTTTGGCAGGTCTGGTGTGGGTGCCCTTCTTGTTGCGGGAGTTAAGGTGCCTTCATTCATCCTGTGGTGCGGGACTTCTCAGGTGTAACATGGTCTAACCGACCATACTGTATATAAAATCATCCTCAAGTAGATGGAATTCAAAAAAATCAATCATGCGACCTCAAAGTTCAGAAAAGTAGATAGAGTATTTAAGAAACATAACACCCTTTTTTGTTTTTGTTTTTTTTTAATGTTCGGACTTAAAAAGATAGTAAAGAAAAGGGCAGTTTTGTTTTTGTTAGCTTGTGGATTGCTCCCAAATGCCCCAGCAGAGGCACATTGTTGGCTTTGTGCACAAATGGCTGCAGAAGCACAAGTTCACAAGGTACATTCAAAACAAACACTCACACAAACAATATCACGCTCGCAAAACGCCAGACTTTTGAAAACATATTCCATATATCATATACTCTGAAATTATTCCATGTACCGTTTTTGAAGTTTCAATAATCTGGCCGCATAAAATTCCGGAACGTCCAAAAACATATTCTATCTACTAAAGGAAGATTATATATATTATATACACATATGCAAGTGGATGTTGAAGTTGCTATTATTGGCGGCAAACAGTTCCGCGAAAGAGGACCCTTGCTTTGATCAGCAACGTCTGCGAGGATGTGGCCGGGAGAAATCCACAGTGATGCGAGAGCGAGTATTTCCATTGCGGCGGCGATCAGCGACTGACGCTACTCGAGAACCAGCGCACCGAGTGCGACGCACCGAGTGCAACGCACCCAGTGCAGCGCACCGAGTGCAGCGCACCGAGTGCAACGCATCGAGTGCAACGCACCGAGTGCAACGCACCGAGTGCAACGCACCGAGTGCATCGCACCGAGTGCAACGCACCGAGTGCAGCGCACCGAGTGCAACGCAGCGCGCCGAGTGCAACGCACCGAGTGCAACACCCCGAGTGCAACGCACCGAGTGCATCGCACCGAGTGCAACGCACCGAGTGCAGCGCACCGAGTGCAACGCAGCGCACCGAGTGCAGCGCACCGAGTGCAGACCAACCCGAAAACACCACATTACACCCAGTCACGCTTACCCGCTACACTGAGTATTTCATCATGCAGGAGAGTTGTAGTTGGTCTAGTTCAGGTGGGCACGAGTGCGGCACGAGGAATTTGCCATCCTGGAAAACGTTGGACACAGCAGTCTTCAGTCGCCCTGTTTCCTGACAGGTCTAACTTGATTGACAGGTCATCCACGCGGGCGCCGCGGGTTTGGGAGGCAGACGGTTGATGGAACACTCCTCTTGCTCCGACCCGCCGGAGCAGTGAGACGAACCCCTGCACAGGGCCATGTCATCCATGAAAGCATGGACAGGTCAATGCCACCAGAACCCCTCCGTCTTGGGGCCCCCAGACATGCACAGGGCCCTAGGGATCCAGCCGTACCTTACCTCAGGTAGGCAAATGTGTTCGACACTGAGACGAGACGACTGGTACCGAACCTGAGGTACGGTGATTGGATCCCTCAGGGGTTTTCCTGTACCTTCTCCACTGACCGCCTGTTCCTCTCTCGATGCTCCCAGGTGGCATGGGCCTGGGCTTGGTGATTCCAAAGCTGAAGACGGACCAGGAGATCGCTGCACACTACTCCGTGCCACTGCCATCGCTGCAACAGCTGAAGGCGCCCGGAGCTCGCCATGGGGAGCGAAGGAGCCATGTTTCCTCTGCTGGGGGGGCTAGCGGCTAGCCAAGCTGCGGAGCCAGGGCCAAGGATCCACTGTGGGTTTTGACTCTTGACCCCTGTGAAGATGGTTGGAGCGGCTCTTGAACAGATCGCTCATAGGTCTAGATGTTCCTGCATTTACCACAGACCACATGTCTTTGAATCCAGACCAGCTGCGGGGGTTCCATCCCTCGAGAGCGCGAAGCCGCGCGTTTTCGAGGTTGGGTTGTAGCCCGCAGCAGTCACCCTTTCATGGATGCCGGGATTCAGCGGAGATGGTTTGAACCGCAACACACTAAGGTGACCTTTGAACCTTGAAAAACCCAGTGGTTTCAGTGGCTGAAGGGTTTCTTTTTCCTGTCAGAAACCCATCTTGTGGCACTTGTTGGTGATCCAGCATGCGGAAACACACAGATCGATCACCCCTTGGCGATGCGAAGTCCAACAAGTCGGAGAGGTGAGAGAGGTGCCAGGTGAAGTCTCAGAAAGATGAGACCTTTTGGATGCTAAGTAAAAAAAAACCAGAGGGACCCAGACCCCCAGAGTTCAACGAGAACCCTTCGCGACGCATTCGGGACAAATCGACCCGCTGGTGATTCGCGAGCCGGCCTTTTGATCGGTTTGAACGGGCACCGGCTCCGGAAGGTGGACTTCCCGGAATGCCCCGCCGCCGAGCTGTCGCGGTTCCTGGCGCGGAAGAGCGTCTCCGGCGATGTGTCCAAGGCCACCAAGCTGGTTGCCGCCTACCTCGAGTGGAGGACGCTGGAGCGTTGCAGTGGAGCGTGGAGGGGGTTTTTGGACACGGAGCGTGGAGGTGTAGACAGTGTGGTGTGGACAGGTCATTGAGTCATATTGAGTCATTGGACCCGCAATTCCCAGAAGAGTTCTGCTCTATCTTCTAGTGAAGAGTTCTAAACGTCAGGGAATGTTCATCTACGACGGGTCTTAACCACACCTACTGTACTGGTTCCGTAACCACGGTTGCTGCTTCTTGACCACGACTGCCTGTGGTACCTTTAAGCACGACACTCTGTGGTACCTTCAACACACACCTATGGTGGGTATATTGACCATGCCTGCTCCTTGTGATCAGAAAAGTGCATCCTGTTCGTTCGCCGCAGCTCCATTTTCGGGTTCTTGCCCTTCGCTCACCTATATAGATTGCAACGAGAACGGTGCTTTTTGGATAGAATTGCTTCAAAGCAGATGAACAACCACGTCCCTTTTCATTTCTTATTGAAACACTGTTGGACGCCATGTTTGGCATCAACCTGCCTATTCGCCGCCCCGCCGATTGGCATTTTGAGCACGACTTGGCCTCCAAGTAAGTGTAACAGTGGTCGATTATTGTTGTGGCTCTTTTCCGGCGAGTGCGTGTGAAAATGGTTGTAGACCTGCTTTGTTCCAGAAAGGAAACAACATCTGGAGGGTGTGCGCCCTCCAGTCCAGGATGTACTCCTAGATTGAACGTGGTCATCAGTTAACCCAGCAAGTTCAGAACAAATGCAACACATTTTATTGATGTCATCAGATGTTTTCCAGGTCAGATCAAAGGCGTTAGGATATAAGTCGGGACCATTCTTTTAAAGAGTTTTCTTTGATGATTGATTCTTTTCTTTGCTCCTTCCTGGAGCGCCGTGCTGAGGAGAGGCATTTCCAAGTGGCCTGCGGCCCCTAGCGACCTGCCCAACCCTTTCCGCTTCAACGGTTTCGCCAGAGATGGCAGCCGACTCTTGCTGCTGCTGCCTTGCAGCATCGACATCTCTTTCAAACCAGAACTCTACTGCCAAAAGCTGGTCCGGAGTCTGGATGTTGAGGCGGACAGATGACAGGATGGGGACACCCTGGAACAATTCGGTGCTAACAGTGGTGGAAGGCGTTAGGACCGTTAGGTGGATGGTTAGACATGTTGGAGGACACCAGTACTAGTATCTTGAGTGGTATGGCCCTGACAGAATCGAGGGGCAAGCAGGACCTACATCGGATCACGGCACATCGAATTGAAATCCAGTCCAGGCACCCGTTGAATGTCCCCCCTCACTCTGTCGACCTGGGCACTTCTTCCTCTTGAAGTAGTGTGATGTGTGAAAACTCTGTCCGCCGCTGGTGAGAATTTGAAGGTCTTCAAGGTCTTCAGCCGTGTGACCATTCTCAAGGCAATGCTGGAGACACGTCGTGGTAAAACGCAAAAGGACACCTTCAACACCTTCAACTCTCAGGACATGACAAAAGGATCTACACTCTGACTCACTAACATGGAAGTGGAAAATGGCCTCTTGGAAGACTACTTTCCTCTACAAACCGTGGGTTCTCCACTTCCATGTTAGTGAGTCGGAGTGTAAACAGCTCAGGCCAGAGGTGGGGTTGGGGTTGCCCGTTTTGTCAAGCTTTCGTTTTGTTATGTTTTGTTCAGAGAAACATTGGCGGCCAGATGCCCTGACTTTTGGGACATCTGATTTTGGGACATATCTAGCAAGCAATCTCTTTGAACATTGAGTGTGCCACACCTGAGCTTCACTGCTTCCCGTGGGGAAGAGGACGGAGACTGGTTAAAGAAGAGTCGGATGAGATGATAGAGACGTCTGACACCCTGTCGGAAGCCGACTATTTTTGTGAAACGATGTCACAGAAAACCACGAGAAATTCTTGGTCAGTCTCATTGTTGCTTTCACGCAAATCAGTCTTCCTGAAAGACCCGTTTCGTGGTAAAAGAGTATTTGGACACATCGTCTTTGGTGGTTTGAACCTTCTCAGTCAGAGTCACAGGTCAGGATGAGGATTCGGATTTGGTCAGTTTAGACATGTTTCACTACAGCAATCAGGATCTTGTCACTTGTTTTGATCTCGGCAGCCATTTCCCAAAACCACATCTCCTTGCCTCCCGATCCCCTTGTTTTGGGCCTTCCCCGCATGGAATTCCATGGCTGCCGGAGACTTGGTTCCCCACCAGAGATGGCCCGGGGTTCACCGAGTTAGACCGGACGCGGCCGAAGAACAGGTGGAGCGCTCCGATTTGCTGCGCTTCACCGTGCTCTTGGACTGCCGGCCGCACACCGCCTTGGGCTATGATGCCAAGCCCGTCTGGCGGCTCTGGACGCACATCTCGGCCATGGCCAAGATCTTCCAGGTGTCGGAAGATGCGCATCGAGTCTTTGGGAGATCAACAGGGGTGAGCATCAATCCCATTTGGCCTCTGCAAGTTTTGTTGGGGGGGTCTGACCCATGCGGGGTCAGACCTCAATTCACCTTGGCGGGGGGCCAGGCTTACTTCCCAGAGCGATTGCAGCGCTTTGCTGCTCGAAGAAAGCGGATGGGCGGGGTCTTTGGGCCGTGTAGAGCTGAGATGAGCACCTGAGATGCGGATCGGGACGAAGCTGGAGCACGGGTCGGGAAGCCACATTCGTCCAAATGCCCAACACAACTGAACTTGGATTCTGTTTTTTTCTCGGAGATCAGGCCATGGCCCATGTGGACCCCCACCACAGCCAGGCATTACAACATATTACATGACTCCTTGGTATTCCTTGGCATATTGGCATACTAAACATCAAACAGGGCAACACCAACAAGGCATAAAAACATCAGGTCAACACATGCCCCCACCGCGGCCAGGCATTACAACCACTCCTGGTTGTATGGTTTTCGTTGGTGTTTTCATTGACCTTGGGAAGGATCCGCAGCACACGACCCTGCACACTGGACCTGTCGGAACACCCCCACCGGCGGACTCGAGCAGGTCCGGTAGACCGGAGAACGAACGAACGATGCGTGTGAGACGTTCCGGACAGTCTCAGGAGGGTTCGTGTGGAGATCCAGCTATATATATATAGATGACATTGAAACAGAAGCATACTACAACATACTATAACTAGTAGAGAAAGTTGCTGGTCCATCTATTCTGGGCTACTCTCCAGCTTGGCCATGCCTTTTTTCTCAGACTTTCGACCTCAGACGACTTGGCCACGCCCAACCTCCGGACGAAGCTTCGCCCAGCTGAGGTGATTTACCCTGCCGGAGACCTGGAGATGGGCGCCTTTCGGATGTTCAAGGGGCTCTTGTCCACTGAGACAGTGAAGAGGGTTCCTTGGCAGTGAAGAGGATTCCTTGGGTTTTTCAGAAGGCCCAGAAGGCTCAAGTGGTGCCAGAGCTACCCTTTTCTCAAGATGTGGCGCCAGATGTTTTTGGAAGCCTCAGCGTTCTTCGACCGTATTTGAGGCACTTCTCTCCTCGTAGGGCCGTAGGGCATGGAATTGATGCGTTGGTTTGAGATCTGCGGTTCCTAGACAAGTCCATGTGACCTGAGAGGTGTGACCTGAGAGGTCTGTTGCAGTGCTTTCTTTCTTGATGTACATTCTTGATGTATATATAGTCATCCTGGATCCTCTCATCCTTCAGAGACGGAGAGTATGAAACATGTCAAAACAAACAGATCATGGCCATTTCTTGGAATGCTCCAACATTGCGTATCCACTGAAAGATGTGTACACGTCATGACCCACACACACATCTAGGACGCCGACCATGCCCTGCCCGCGGCTACCGGTAGCCCATCACGAGCCCGTCCGCCTTCGCGTGTCGGAGCCTGGTGTCCCCAGGTGCGGCTGCTGTACAGCAAGCTGGGCTATGCGGCCGCTGCCCCGCCTCCTGAATTGCTTGAGATTCTGGACGTCAGCGAGATACGGAGAGAGAACAAAGTTTTCTTCACGGGTCTCGAGGCAGACGGAAGCCCCTGCTAGATGGTGGATCTGTTTGTTTTTAGTGTGATATTTTTTCAAAACATGGGGGGGAGGGGACGAATGGGGGACCTCCCACTGAATCACTTTGCAGAACATGGATACCTTTTGGTGTCTGAGTCCTTGAGACACCATGGCCTATGATATAAGAGAATGCAATTTGTCCCTAGTTCAAGAATCAAAACCTTCAGCAGGTGGAGGCTCAAAAGGGACCATCACTTAGAGTGGGAGCACTCTCCCTTCACCCCTCGAAAGAAACTTGCAAGCATACGCAGCACGCAGACGCAGTGACCAGGTGGCTCATGTTCGTGCGCCAACGTTTCTTCGAAGGTCCCTGGGTCTCCACGAAGCTGGGCTGTTGAGACCAGATATGCTGAGCTTGGCCCATGTACAGGGTCGGCCTGCTCTGCGCTGAGCATCGCATGCGGAACCGCCAAAGGCCAATCACCGCGGCGCTCCCACAAGAAAGAAGATGCAAGGTTAGGAGCAGGGTGAGGGAGGTGATGGTGTTCATTGCTTGGATTGAAGAGGCCTCCAAGTGTTTGGAGGTCCGAATTTCTCAAGAGTCATCAAAAGAAGCACTTTGTGCTCAGGGAAATTGCCAAGGTTGAACACACAAAACCTGAGTTGACGGGAACCGATGGGAGATGTCAAACTTGTGTGGAATGTAGACTCACTCGTCTTTCCTCTGCGCAAACCTCTATATTATGATATATATAGCTTCTAGACGAAGTTTCCTTTTTTCACCCAGTTTTTTTTTCGGGGGTCCGTCCTGGTCCTGTTTTCGGCGGTCTTACGTGACCCGCTGCCTCCCAGTGCGATCCGATGTCTCGGAGCGCCCGAGGTCCACGAGCGATGTTGGGCCAATTCTGCACGAAGGCTTCTACAAGCTGGCTGCAGCAGTGACCAGGCGCTCGGGGCGCTCGGCTTTTCCAATGTCCGTCGACGGCCTTTGGGCCTGAAGCAAGCCGAATGGAGACATGACCTGGACCTGGATTTTGGGATCGAAATACGTTTCTGACTCCTTTTTTTTTCCGGGGCATCGAAGGGTCGAGAGAGGGTCCATTTGTTGGGCTTCCGATGAAACAACGGATCACCCCCTACAAATAGACCACCCCGTTGGATTGGACCACCCCATAGGAATCAGTCTTTTCTCTAATGGGTGCAAGGTGCTTTTCACACACCGTGCTTCGGCACCTTTTCCACAATGTAAACTTCCAATTCCTGTTCAGCATGAGTTGCCATGCCTACAGCCATCCAACGGATGTTCAGATGTTTTCATGCCAACCCTGCCGGACGCAGGCCAGAGCCCACTTTGCGGCAAAAGGCTCGTCCCTAGAAGTCGGACATCATGGAAAGTGGGCGCTTGGGACCATGGCCGTCTTCCACTGCGAACAAAAGCGGGTCACCTGTGCAGAACAGATCTGTGGCTTTCTGTCAGAGTTTGGTTGGTTTGTTCCACCTAGTAACCTATAGTACTGTGCTTGTGAACCGCAGGGTATGCTGGGCACGGAAAACCGAAAGGCGTTTCTTCTTGGTTCTCGTGGTCATCCAGTCCTGGCTCCCAGTCCAGGGAACCTCTTGTGCACTGTTGAAGTGCAACAAAACTGCAAGGAACGTCACGGAACACTTCACGCAGAACGTCACGAACTCATGGCGCGCCCAGCCACCGGGCGCTCTGGTCGCCAGGGGGACAGGGCGACGGGAGACGGTTTGGGTACCGAACGGCTTCGTCCGAGAGGCTACAGCCTTGCAGAAATCCTTGGAGATGCAGCTCAAGTGTGGGGGACCCTCAGCACTTGAAGAGTCGTTTTCCCGAAAAGCTTGAGGGCTTCGGTTTTGGGCAACACCCGTGCTGATGTGTGCGGCTTAGCACGTGGGAAGACGGTGTTGGGCTTGTGTAAACATCTCCAGTTGTACTGTGCGGTGTGGTTTCTAGACCTTCTGGTTCCGGCACTGGAGTCTATAGAGAGTCGCAGTATCTTGGTGCGAGACTGGAACAGAGTCAAAGTGTCAGAAGTGGCGCTCCGGTGCACAACACTGTACTCAGTAGACAGTAATTAGACACCTGTGGATATCTGTGGAGCATCCCAGCTCTTCAGGGCCAACAGCTCACCCGACGGATGGAAACGACATCCTCCCAACGTCTTGGATTGACCCCATGGACCGCAGACGCACTCGTCCACTTGTCTCTGAAGGTCCCTTCGAATCCGCTTCAAGTGAACGATAGACTTGGAGTGTAAATACGACAGTACGTAGAAGTGTTTAATGCCTTTTCAACGAACAAAAACACATGGGATTTCTATGGATTTCTGGATTTTTTGAAAGGACATGTTGTTGAACACCCAACGCACTGCCGCCGTTTGCTATCATCCGCCTTTTCTCGGAAACTGACCAACCGCCCCCCGTTTGTCATGGGCAGTGCCAGGTCTCAGACAAAAAGGCGCAGATCCCAGCGTTCTGTGCAGACAGAGGGAGATCTGGGCTCTCCAACAGCTGAACAGTCCACCAAGAGCAACCAGGATGGCAAGAGCAACCCCAAACAGGATGGCGATTTTCACACGGATTGCGTGAAGATGGGAGACGCCTCACAGCCTTCTCTTCCGTGCAGCACGTTGGTTTAAAGACGTTTCAAATTCCACTAACGCGTGCGAAACTCGCAACGGCTGCGGCTGACAGTCTAACTCACTGTTACCAAGTGCCACAATCTACATGGGGAAGTCTTGGAGGTTCCGCGATCTTGGGACTTTCTTCTCTAGATCGATTGGATGATTTGACCCGACCCCTTCGGTTTCGGCCGATGGTGGTTGCACGGCGTTCTCGGTGGCCCAAATCGATGTCTTGAGGTGAAGTGGACCAGATGCATTGGACCGAACAGAAGGCTCCTCTGCAGCTTCCAGCCCTAGAAGGAGACGATGGCGATCGATGGTGGGAGAGAACGGAGAGATCACAGAGATCAGAGAGGGGATCCAGATTTCAGGTTTGCAGGTGTTCATTTATGAGGTGATGGAGCATCTCGAAAGCTTTTGGCATCGTAGATTCTAGATGCACAACTTAGGACATTCCTTGGCTTGCGGAATTTCCGCCTCATGTCTCACTTGTCAAGGGCCCTGGACCCTGGCTTCTCTTTGCTAATCTTTTTGGAGGCGCCTAGACGAACCCCGATCCCAGCAAGGGCAGCGGGCTGAGGCGCCCCAGCAAGGGGCAACCTGAAGTGTGACATTTTGGAGCCTGCAAAGTGAAGTGCCCCATCCTTCTTGTGTCCCAAAAAAACACCAACCAGAACATTCCCTTCCTCCATTCGGAATCGCCCGTCCTAGCATGTTTTTGGTGCCTGGACTAAATACGACCGACAGCCTGGTTCCGCTTGTGCTTGTGCCAGGAGCTGAACGTGTGGAGACGTTCCTCACCCAGGAGGCGGGCTCGTCTCGACTGAAGGATTAATGGACGACCACATGTACCCTCATCTTCCAACAACCCAATAGGTTGGGTCTGTCCGTTTTCTGACCTGTAGAGCAGTCAGGTTTCACAAGCAAATCACTATTTTTGGACAAGGCCTCCCACCAGGCCCCATCATCATCCACTGGGCCCAGGTAATAGGATCGACCCAACATACAGGAACATCACAGAAACATGGCCCGCTTGTCGCGTGACAACTCGTCCCCTGACCGTGTTCCGAACCCGGCATGACGATCTATAGTATCTAAGTATCAGGCGCTACATTTGTTGAGGATCCGAAATGTTTGCAAGACTTCAAAGATGTATACTTGTATACTTGAGGAAGTGTTCTTGCATCTAGATGTAAAGACATGTAAAGACAACAGAGAGATTCTTCGTCTGGTCTACCGGTTCCCTTTGCCGCTTAGCAACTGTCCGTCGTTGGAACTAGCCCTTTGCAGGAAGCGAGTGTGGACCCTGTTGGAGGAGCTGAGCTTCAGCTGGTGTTCGGTGCCTTAGTGAGGTCCGGCATATGGAACCTATGCGCAGGTACACTCTGACGAAGACATGAAGTCATGAAGTCATCGCAGGTTTGGAGTTCACAACAGGTTTGGAATTGCGAAAGTTATTGTCGTCTTTGTCTCGGGGCCATTTATGGCGCAGACTGCATCAGATTCCACTTATAGATGTGATGTGTTCGTCTGTAGTTAGTTGGTATCAACAGATTCTTCAAATCACTTCGGTATTCTCCCTTTCTCAAGCAACACCTGGAAGAGGAAGGCATGGGAGTCAATTCGGCTGACTTCCTTCTGGCAGGGTGCTGCTTGATGAAACAACCCATGAACAGCATCAGCCTCCTGGTTTTCCGCTTGATTTTGTGCATCTATCATCCGGTAGAGACCGTGTTTAAAAGGATGCTCCCATTTTGCCAGGCCAGAAAGCATGTGTTTTCGGGTCAGGGATGCTCTGGCCAGAGCATCCTCCGAGGTCGGCCTCAGCCCCGCTGAGAGCTCCCAGCATGGCGGCCGCGGCCGAGCGGGCGAGAGAGGAGATGGAGCTCTGTGTGCGGGGCCGAGCGCTCTGGCGACGGACGTGGAGTCTCCAAGGTCGTTTGAACGATGAACTCTGAAGAGCATGTTGACCAAGGAGTCCAACGTCTTCATGAGAGTTGGTCCATGTTCGGTCATCCTTAAATGCACGATTTCAACTCGATCATCTCAGGCGCCGGGAAGGAGAATGGGGGCTGAAACTGGCTGAACAGATTGGAACTGATGCCAATGTAAATCTCCAAAAGTCGATTCCATGAGTTGTTCTTTTTCTTTCTCCGGACCGCGTTGAGCCATGTTTGCTTCTCTTGAGCAGTAGACATAGTAGACAGCGCTACAAGTTCACCAGCGGGGGGACGGCGGTGGATCACGTGGAGCGGATCCGAAGATCGTTTGCAATCTGATGAAACTGAGTCAGACGAAGCTCTGATTCCATCTGATTCCTGTACCCCAACTGCTGACGTGTCGCCATGCAGATCTTTGGGTCTGCTACCTTGACGATGGATTTCCGCTCTGAAC